GTGTGAGTGTGTGAGAGAGAGAGAAAGAGAGATTAAGTACAATGCCTGAATTAGTGTGTAAGCAGCCCGACAATAGTTTGGATTAAATTATTATGATCTATAAACACAGCCGAGGTCACAGTGCTGTGTACACATGTGTGCACCTCTGTGTGCACGGCCTTTTTCTTGGCTCACCGTTGGGCTCCTTATGGCTTTACTGCAGCAGTTCTGACTAATTTCATGGAAAGCCACTCATCTCACAGGACCAATAATTGCATTTCTGTCATGGTCTTTAGGAAAGTTGAGGCTTGTAGTTTTTCAAACTTAGGACTCCACAAGTTTATGAAATATCCTGAGGCCTGTCTGAGGTGACACTGAGGCTCCGATTTCCTGGGAAGAACCAGCCTGTTCACAGAAAAGGTGTCTGGAAACATGTTTGGAGACAGGTTCTTCAGCTCTTGAATACTCTTGCACGTTTCCACTTAACACTAGAGTTAAGTGGAAACGTGCAAGAGTATCTAGATTACTGTATCCTTTTACATCTTTCCTGGCAAGCACTCGTCTATTTGGTTTTTCAGGGCTAGATTGTGCACATCGCAAAATCTCTGGAAACATTTTAGGAAGACGGCCGCAGAAGCTCCGATTACTCTACATCATAATTACTGCTGAAACATTAAACTTATTTTTAGTCAGTCACCAGATTCCTGCATCTTTTTCCACTTTTGTGGAGTCTCAGTTTTCTGGCAGCTCCTTTCCAAACGTGGCCATAATCCAGACATGCTGCTAGAAAAAGCCCATAAGTTTAAAAATAAGGGAGGTATGGTGTTCATTGGTCTTTATATAACTATGTTCATGCAGTTCGGAAATCACAGGTAATCACTTTTCCTTCATACTGAATGTATTCCTCGTCTATACTTGCAGCTGGATCTAAGTTTGGGCTTTCTGAGAGTACAATTTTTAGTCTTGGTATCACCTGAAACCTGGTTTTCTATCAACACTAGTACTGTCCTTAAGTCCTTAAGTAAGTCCATTCAAATTCTGCACATTTCAATGTGAGACATATCCAAGAGTACTGTGAAATACCACATAAAGCGGTGCACCTGAATCTGCTCAGCTCATGCTAATATTTACATAGCAGCCAATCAAGTTCTGTTATCAGCGAATGGTCTGATATGGAGCCTCGGTGAAGGTTCTTATCTTTAAATAGCACTATTTACATGCTAATATAGTGTGTGTGTGTGTGTGTGTGTGTGTGTGCGCGCATGTGTGTAAGAGAGTAAAGCAGATGCAGGTAGAGTCTTTACTGCAGCAGTAAAGTCCTTCACGAGCATCTCGCCTGGCCTCAGCTCACTTATCTCCATGCTGTGAAAAGCCTTTTATCTTCACAAGCTAAACATTGCTTCTGTGACTGACTGTGAAATATGTACAAAACAAAAGTTTATTTAAATCTAACATTTACAAACACTCTTTGCATTCAGTAATCACCACTTCTCTCACTGCTTTTCATCTGTTCTTTTGTTGCTGATGCTTGGCTGCATTTCAAGTTGTTTTTAGCCCTCAAACAGTAGTAACAGCAGTTTCCTGCCTGCACAGCAGGGGGCAGCTTGGGTTCTTCTCCAGACATTTCTACTATTAACAAACTCACGCTAGGTTTGGTTAAGTTTAATAACCAACCCCAACTGAGACGTAAAGTCTTTCTAATCCTAATTTTATTTTGTTAATAAGAGTTTACATTGTTTAAAAAAAACAAAACAATTTCAGCTCCTGTATCTGATGTTTTATTGTGTATGAACAGATTGTGCTCATGAGTGACAAATGGCATTTATTTGTTTGTGTTGTAACAATAAGGCTTAACACCAATTAAATAAAATGGCATTGGTCTTTAAATCATTAAGTAATCCAAAAATACACTTTCTTTCCAGTTTGTAAATAAACTGCAGCTATGATCAGGGTTGTGATAAGAATAAAAGAGCAGTTCTCCTCTCTAGTGAGATAAGCTGTCGTCTTCTGCTAAAAATAGAATGAAGAGACTCGTTTCTCTAGATTTATGATGCCGATTGGTTGAGTTTATATGAGCCAATAAACGGTATAATTAACACTTAGCAGGAGTTAGAGCATCTTGTGTCAGTACCACACTAAGATGCGCTCTGTACTTCCTGCTGCAGCTGCAGACTCTGGGAAACCATTGCTTAACAGACATAAACCAAGGTCAGTGGTGTGCATGTGCGCGCGTGTGTGCACGTGCGCGCGTACTGAGCTGATTAAAAAGTCGGTTTCTCTAAGAAGTACTATATGGAGGGATGGAGGGTGATAGAAGCACAGATCTGTCAGATAGCAAAACTCTCATCTGAGGCCGATTCAATGCATATGAAATTTTAATAACTCCTTCAATAAAAAAAAAATAAAACTACAGGAAGTTTAAATGCAAGAAAACTTTTCCGATTTAAAAAAAGGTCAAAAGATCAGAGGTTAAACTTCCTATGTTGGTATAGTAATTTCTGCACTAAGGTGTCATCTTTTGGTTGTTACGGTAACTGAGGTCACATGTGCACATTGCTACTGTGAACTAGATGTTGAGGATGCACATTGTTAGGTCTGTGATGAGAGAAACACGCCACACTGACTGGTCACAGGAATGCAGCTGTGACCCTGAAAACTACGTGATAACAAACCAGTAACCAATAAGAGTCTATTTTGTCTACAGCGTACGATGAGCAGACATGCACTGTGGGAAAACAGGAGGAACATCCTCCCTGCTGTGTACTCACCAGAGAAATAAACTGAAGAGAGGAAGAGAAAAAGATGATAGGAGGAGGAGGATGGAGGTGAAGTGAGGACAAATGGGCAGATGACACACAGCCAGGAGGACAGAAAGGAAAGAGTGAAAAGAAAACATAGGAAAAGTGACGGCAGAATAAAAACTCAATAAAACTGAAGCGATAATGCAAAAGGAACCACAAGACATGAAGGATGAATAAGCAGAGACCAGAAGGAGAAAAACAGGAAAATGAAAATGGCAAAAAGCAAAAAACCAAACCAAAACATGGAAGTGTGGAGGGAACAGACCTTTATTTCTCTCTGCTCCACTGATTTCTCCCATATCTGTTGGTCATAGGCGCCAATCTGGAAAAATAAAAACAAACAAGGTATTAATTATGAAATCCAGTGAAGAAACCAGCAGTAAACACAAACCTAGTACAAGCTTTAATCTTACAAGATGCTCTGCAGACTTTACAGAAAAAAAGTAGTAATGATTGAAAACCACAACAGGTTTCTTTTACACACAACAAAGTTTCTGTTCTGATAAAGACTGCAGAGCAAATAAAGGTTAGTGGTCAGACCATCTTCCTCTGAACAATCAAACTTATGAATAAAGCTTGATCTACTTTCATTCTCTGCATGAAATCCACCCTTCATCTGCTAGCTGCATCATCCCCATTACCTACAGCCTCATTATATCTCATAACAACAGGAAGCCTGCAGAGACACACGATTATGGTTAGAGCTTTGTTTTGTTTTGTGTGGGAGTTCAAGATTTCAGGCTCTTGCTTCACAACTGGAACTGTCACGGTCTCATAAAACTAGCTGGAATTTATTGAAAATACAACAGATATGGACGGATCTGAAAGTGAGCCATTAAAACACAATAAATCAGACCCATAAGGAGAAATCCACTCCAGTAACGGGATTGTAAAGATGTCTGAACCTGGTGAATCGATGTTTTCTCCTCTAATGCTTTAAGAACTTTTGGTTTCAGCTGGTTGTATTTTAGTTATACTCCGATATAAAAGCAAGGTTGCCGAGCGCCTGTGTCATTTTGTGGTTAAATCTCCATCTTTCACAAATAGTAACTATGTCACTCAGTTGTTAATGTGAATTTCTGTTGAATATGGATTTCTGGGCATGTACAGAAGAATAGATTTGCCATTTATAGCAATTTATCAGTTAATATTTGCAGTATAACAAACGTTTCCTTGGTATCTGAATGCACTGAAGTCACGTTCAAGACACCAAGTGACCGAATGGTCACAGAATTAGTCTCCATCTTTATAGCAACCACTTCAGTTTTCTTGGTGTTGCTGTAGCATAGAGTCCCAAACAGAGGAGCAGTTCAGCCATTATGTTGGAGGATAAATTATTGCACTCTGAGCCATCTACTTTAATAAAGTGCTGCTGTGCCCCGACTCGCAGTCTGCAGACTTTTTGGATGTTTTAATAACAGATAGAACTACAGCAAGTTAACAGGGATGTAAACACTTAATGCACTGAAATGTACAGATCACATAAAACCAGCAACAAGAACACATTACGCCTACAGTACGTCCTGTCTGTTCTTTTCCTTGATTACCTCTTAACTGGAGTACAGCTAACAAAAACCCCTGATAGGATAATATGCACCAGCAGCTAGTATTTACCAATATTACACACAGGAGGAAGGGCAGGGCGAAATGAAGAGTGCACCACTTGTTACTGTCACAGGGATCAGAGGGATCAATAGACCTGCAGAGTGTTGGTGCGTGTCGAGGACTAATCGTGTTTATCAGGGTGTGCGTGAGGTCAGAGGAGTGGATAAGCCATTATATGCTATTATGTGCCAAGCAATGTGGTCTGTGTGAGCCAAGCACAGCAGACACCAGAAAGAAAATATATCAGACAATGATAGAGAGTGCTGTTACTGTAAGAACAAGATATATTTGTATCTGATCTGGGAACACAGATCAAAACAAATGCACTCCAAGGTCAGACTGCACCAATTTCACAGGGTTGCTGGTTTCTTATGTCACCTGCTTTTAGATTTCACAATTAGAAGATACAATTCTACTAGAGTTGCACTATTAAGCAGCTTCTTTAAAAAAAAAAAAAAAAAAAAAACCCCATCTCCACTGCTAGAGGTGTCAGCAGATCAGGTTTTTCTTGCGAGCTTATATGCCTCCATGGCATCGAGTCTGGGTCACCCCATCAGCACGCCAGTGGAAACTATGCATATTTAATGCAGTTTCATTAATGATGAATGGAGAGAGAGAGAAAGAGGTCAAAGACGACGAAGGAAGAGCACCAAGAGAGACTGAAACAGAGAGGAATCAAATTTAGGAACTCAAGAAGAGAAAGTGTGTGCCATGTAGTTACAAAAAAACCAAAAACAAACCCTGTCTTATTACGAATATCACTTTACAAGTCCTCCCAAGTTATTTTTATTAACAAAACAACGATCACATTAGTGAAATGATTTGCTCTTTTATGTGGTGCAGACAGCACCTCAGTCTGGTGACATCTCCATGTCAACGATCACATATAGCAGTAAAAGATGTGGGTCAGGCAAGGTGTCACATCGTGGCCGTCCCACATAACAGGCACACTTTGACACCAGCTTCAGCACGCGCCTGTTGTGACACCGCCCTCCCGCAGGTCACACTATGGTACAACTATTGAGTACACATCAATCCCAAATTCTAATCAATTGGTTTTGTCTGGAGGTAGCTGGGTACTGTGAGGTTAATCATGCGGTTTCATGGACAGTTTTCAAATTATATTGTCCGGAACTAGCAGTCAGATTGTGATGCACTTGTTTCCTCTTTATGAAGAAGCAACATTTGATAATATTCTCTCTGTGTATAGTGATACCAATCTTTAGAACCAGGGTGCTGCTCTGATCGCATCTATTCCAGAGGTTCCAGATGTGTTTAATGCTGTAAAGACTTGTTCAAATACAAACAAACTAATTCTTCTATCAAGAAGTCTGCTGTTTTGATTATTTCAATATAAAATTTGTCAGTAAAAGGTCATTTATTCGCTTTTCCAACCTTTGCTAATGAATTACCTTATAAAATGAATAAATCCTAATTACAAATGACAAATGTTTATTGATAATAAAGCAACAAGCCGGGCCAGACAACGCAGTCTCTGGAAAGGCCTCATTGAGGAGCAGTGGTTGTGAGCGTATTTTGAACAAAGTTTGTTGTTAATTTCTGATGTTTTCTTCGCCTTTACAACATCAGAGAGCTCATAACAGGTAGAAACAGCTAAGTGTGGAGGGAGGATGACAGTACACGACCGTACAGTGTTTTTATTTACCGGAGTAGCTCGGAATGGGAACTAAACAAATTTGGAAATGCATGCTGAAGCTGGAATGAAAGGAATTGTCTGCCTAGGTTCCAAGTCTTAAAGTTAAGATAAACCGTCTCCAAAATATCAGTTTATTGATATTTATAATGACCTGGCCTTCTGTTATTGTGCTAAAAGTAGACCATAGCAAAGCAAGTTCAGTATTTCTAGTTTTATGGGCTAGAGATACTAAACTTGAGCTGACAAGACACCAGGACTAACTGTAAACAGATACATTTTACAATTCAAAATCAAGCAAGTTTAATGCATTACAAATAAGTATGGACAATAATAATAGAAAAACTTGAGAAATCTTTGGCTATGCAGCTATAATTATGTATTAACATACAAGTATGCAGATGTGAGAAGGGAAAAAGTCTTTAATTGCGTGTTTTAAAGGGTTTGGCTGCACGCGAGCAAAACACAAAAGAATGACTTTATTTGGTGAATTACAAACAATTCAGCTTTTTATAATTAAACTGCATTCATGAACAATAGCTGGCAGGCAAAAGGAAATCTTGACCTTGCCATTTTCTTGTTAAGCTGAAAGTCCAGGAAAACTGGCAGCTACCCACCGAGGCCAAATCGGTAAACATGGTGACAGATTAACAGACTGTACAGTGAGTGTGCAAAATCTACCTGCTGCTGAAGATCATGCAATTAAAGCACCTCCAACAGCACTAAGTTATAAACAGAGATAAAGGCAGACTTAAGGCCACCTTAATTTTTTCCTTCCCTGTCTCATTATAAATCTAACTAACTATAGGAAGGGAAAAAAAGACCTTTTTTTTTTTTTTCTCTTCTCAACGGGTGCAACTTGAGACCTCCGTCTAATTTTAAACTCCTATTTAAACATTTATGACTTGGCAGACTCTTTGTCCGAGGCGACGTACAAATAAGGAAAGAATCCACGCTGGAGTGGACTGAGAAGCCTTTTAAGCAGGTGAATAAACACTCATCTCAGTGTTCAGCTTCATAAGCATATAACGAAGAACTTATACTTGAAGCTAGAATTGAATATTACCTTTTACCACTGCTTTAAAACATTATAGATGCTTTTCAAAATAAATCCTTCATGTGTTATATAGTAAAAGGGTTGTGACTTATCGACTAGGGACAGATGAGGATCTCGAGGCTCCACCAGTAAGGTAAAACCAGCTGAGTTCTGGACGTCTGACTGACTGCATGACATTTAGACTGACAGCTAATTTTCCACTCCACTCGGCCCATTAAAACACACACACACACTCACACGCGAGGATGTTTGGAGCATATGTGGAGGACAGTCAGAGGACAAACATGACCAGACTACTAAGTAGGAAGATAAAAGTGGAAGGGGGATAGATAAGAGTGAAAGTTGGTATGGAAAGTGGAGGCACACGCACACATGCTCATCTGTTGTTAGATCATAGAGTCGCGAGGTAACTGTGATTTGACAGAGAGGCATTTACAGCACTGTAAATCCTCTTATCACCACACTCGCACACCGTTACATCACTATCTATTTACCTCATCAACCACTCATGATCAGCCAGCTGGTTTTGACCATTTTGCAAAAAACTGCTTTAATAAATCTCAAATACTTAAATTCTCAGTTTTAATGTAAGGATTTGGACCAGGGAAGAACAAAAAAAAAAAAAAAATTCAAAGTTCAGCAATTTGACAAGCAAATCAAGAGCTGAGAGCGAAGAGGCCGAGTGTGCCGCTGCAGCAATGCTGGAGTCGTCATGACAACAGAGAGGGACGATGCACCGAGGGGAGTCGGAGGAGGAGAAGAGCAGAGTTACATAACTGCCTCTGCAATTGAGGGGGTATCAGAGACAAAGACAGATGCTGACTTTCAGAGGAATGTTGTTGACGTGAAGTTTAACATATTAACAGAAATTTCAGCCGCGAATGATTTACACTCTTCAGTGCGCGATGTCGTCATTCATCCGTCGTCTGCTTGGGGTTTAGTCAGCTTAAAAATAACGAGTACTCAAATGTCAATCCTGGTCACAGACTTTACTGCATTGACTTTA